ACAAAACTCCAAAGAATTTTGTTTAAGCAAAGTGAAAGAGAGAGAGAGAGAGAAAGTGTCCGGGGGGGGGGGGGGGGCAGAGGCAGATACAGAGCAGAGATAGATAGAAAGCTGGGATATTTAGTTTAACGCCACTCTGGAGACTAAAACATTACAGGTTCATATAGCTGAGAAAGAACTTACTTTTGTTTTATTTTAAAGGCATTTAATTAAGTTAGAATGAGTTGGTTCTCAAGAGATCACGAAGATTAAAAACCCATGTTTTAGACAATTGTACCGATTCCTCAGTAGGAAATCATTGCTGTAATCTCAAAAGAATAATTATGGAAAGAAAAATTCCAAGACAGGGAAAACAAAATAAGAAGCAGCAAAAAAAAAAAAAAAGAAGTGATTTCCATGGAGGTTTTTGAGTTTTGAGAATGTAATGGACAGAAAAGAAATCAAGCGAAGAATAGTATCGAAGAAAACCAAACGTTTGACTCACATTGATAAGAATAACTAGAAAGCGACATATGCAGTTTTTAGGACACTTGACCCGACATACAAAGCTTCGAAACATTTTCCTCTCATTGGAAATATAGATAGAAAACAAGACATGGGTAGACCAGGAGAAACATATCATTTAGAGAGCCTAAACAGATAGGTGATGAGGAAACACAGAGATAAAATAGGAATTTTGCGAGCATTCCAGCCTAATTTCAGAGGTAGAATTAACGAGAAAATGGCCTCCAAAGTTTGGTTATTTCCATAGCTTAAATGGTCCGTGGAATAGGAAAACGTACATTTTTGTTCTTCTTAACCATGTTCTTCAGTAAAACCCATACATAAAGGTGTTCTTAAGAGGACACAAATGGGGATAAGGCAAAACCAAAATTTAGATATAAATTACAAAAACATAAGAAGATAAATGCAAATTAATTCAACTTCATTATTGTGAGAAGCGCTTGACTCACAATTGTTCTTGCATTTCAACAATTTTTATTCACCCGTTTTACTTTTATCAAAATGTCAGAAGGTTAACCCTAACCCTAACCCTAACCCTAACCCTAACCCTAACCCTAACCCTAACCCTAACCCTAAAAGTGTGTTATCGATACCCACTTGGTGTCTTCCGATATCGATTTTAAATCTGCTCTAGGGACAATCGATACCTACCGAGCTGTTTTTATTCGAAATAATATCTTCCTTCCTATCACTATTCGATACCGTCCTGTCATTACTTATTGATTATTCGATATTTTGCCAGAGAATTATTTGATAACCTGCTATCTGTAATTACTCGATACCGTTCAAAGTTCATTATAGCTCATTACTCGATATCCCGTTCCCGGTGATTTATCGATGTTACTTTTACCTTCTTCGACGATCATAATCCTCACCTCCTTAACCTTTATAACTAATCGATACCAATTTGAAACTTTCAATAGTATATATAATAAGGATTTTCATTGTATGGTTATAGTTATCACCGTTTAAGATCAAAGATTCGAAACCAGCACGTGCGTGCTTATTATTTGAAAATTATTTTACACGTATTCTAAGTGTCATCATTCGACCCTGGCATTATTCGCTACGTATATATATATATATATATATAATATGGTAACAAACAAGCCACAATCTTTGGCTGTTATCAAGCCTATTTTTTTCTTCTTTTTTTTCGATTGTTTTTTGTTCATTGACATTTTTAAATTATCACCCATTTTGTTGAATGAACTAGCAGAATGCGCCATAGTGGCGAACACAAGACATGTGAAGTGACAAGGGACCCCCTAACATGTCATATTCATGTATGATGTATCT